AAGAAACCATATTCCCCTGGTAGCCCGCACACGAGGTCACTGGTTCGATCTCGCGCTCATAACTCACCAAGCCATCCATCCCTCCGGGGTCGGTAGATTGGTACCAGACAGATCTCAGACTTGTCTGGGAGGATAAGCAGCACTGACTCGGCTCAGCGGGAGGCCACCGCGAGTCATTGTAAAGGCCAGATGTGCATTCAATCACCTCAAATGAAGTTAAAAATTGAAGTCGAATGCATGGCGTATCCCTCAGGGATTGATCAACGCCGAGAGCTTCATCCTTTTACCACATATAAGCACGACTGTGGGTGATTCCTCCACAAGGAGAAATACGAGGAGTATCACAGTCAGTATTTCTTTAAGTTAGAATTAACAAGAATAAAAGCAATTCTTACGTGTAGTCCTGGATTTCACGTTCACCAACTATGACAAGTGCTCCGGACTTTTCATGAGGTTCCACGATTGGCATCTTAATCGTCCGTATTCGTGGAAATCCCACAACTTCATTTCCATCAGCACATATTCGCTTGACCATTTGTCTCTTTAGTCCCATTATGGACAAATCCACAGGCTTGTACACACAGACCAACCCGTTCAGAGCCCTCCATAACTTATTTCTCATACAGCTGAAACTCAATATTCAAGAGACTTTTCATAGTTCAGAATCCCAATCCACATCAATATAAGCGAAATCCATACAATTGTCTCATGTTACACGAAAGTATCAGACAATTCATATATCATAACTTTCGTTTCGAGTGTTCTCCTAAGACCACAACTCAAAAATCTATATGCCTTGCAATCATTTTCGAGCCACGCATGTCAGTGGTCTGTTAAAGACGGCCTGACTAATAGAGCCCGATACACGTGTTTCCGATCTTGAGATCTCGTCAGTCGGGCAGTTACCCTTTCTCGTCTTTTGCTAACGACCTGCGTGGGTACTCCAGTCAAAATGATTGCAAGGCATATCAGAGAATTCCCTAGCATTTTCGTCTCGTGTGAACCTCGGTATTTACAAAATTTTTTCTATTCCCACTTCTAGATCTCTCTAGAGACATCAACTGGTGCAGTAAGACATGATTCAACGGTGTCGTTTTGACTGATAAAACAAGCAGAATCAACATTTATCAACAAAACACAACATTGAACAAATTTAAGCTTTCTTTTGAGCCAATCGTCCTATCTCGTTCTTCAGCAATTGTAAGGCGGATACCTTTGCCATGTGGTAGAGAAACGAGAGCCTTGTTGCCTTTTCCAATAACAAACACGTTCGTGACGCTAGAAAACAACTTCCACGACTCATTAGGAAAGCATCGATAAAAATCGAACCAACCTCGGCCGGAAGTTATGGCATTGAGCCCCCGACCTTCTCTCTCCTTCCCTAAAACCTACCGAGTGGCGAAGGAGTGTCCAGCGGCATCCTTGATATGGATAATGTCGAAGGCTCCGGGTAGTTTTTCTCGATGTCCAATAACTCCGACGCGACCCACGTTACGACCGCCAGTAACCATGGCGAGGTTTCCAGCCTCAAACTTCACAAAGTCCGTGATTTTGTTCGAAGTAAGGTCTATGACGACGGTGTCGTTGACCTAAACAAGACAGTCGGAAATCATCCTATTTGACCGCCAATTGCGGTGCTATAATGTTTAAATAAACCCAATGATGTGGAGTGGTGTGCAAAAACGTTAGCGTCAGCCGGGATTTGAACCCAGATCAGACTCTTTCCAGGAGCATGTGCTAAACCGTTGCACCACCGACGCTAGTTTATCACCCCACTCCTTTCTACGGAAAGAGCAAGATCTGGGTTCAAATTCCGGCTAACGCAAACGTTTTTGCACACCACTCCACATCATTGGGCTTATCTAAACAAGACATTTTAACAAATGTAAACATTTCAAATACGACAATAAGAAGTGCGTTGAACCGTAACAACATAAACAAATAATGATATGAGAAATTTCGACTTCCGAATTTCTACTATGGAGTACATATATGCCTTTTTTCTAACGAATAAATCACTCAATGGTAGCGTTTCTTCTAATGGAATGAACAGTGAACTAATTTACTACTTTACAATAAAAAGAACTGCCCATGTCGACTTCCACAAATTCTTCGCATATAAAGGTGTCTTCAGCAGATCAAAAGCCAGACAACGCCGCGCAGCTCAGACAGCGGGTAATCGTTTGATTGATCATCTTTGTAAATCTCCAAACTTTAGTGAATAGACGGCTTATTTCCTAATGCACCGGCCTGGTATAACCCTAGTATAGACAGGAGAAAGCTGCTCCTCGAAATTCCAGAAGTAAACAGATGAATTCATAGCGTGCGCAAGTATGTATGAAGGACTGCAGACTGCATTCTGACATGATGCCAGCAACCAAAGGTCGACTTCATTGAAATGGCAGCGATATATATTCGGTTTATTTACTGCGCACATGTGATGTTTCTACCGAAATCCCCTTGAAGAATTGATCGCTAGCAAAACACGACCTCAGCCAGGAGTCGAACCCGCGCTTTATCCACAAAGGTACGCGTGCGACCACTACACCAGTGAGGAATATTAGCACCATCACTCATTTTTCAATATCTCTATGATAGTTGCCAGCCCCCAACCGTTAACAGTTTTGGTCGGGTACGCGATTTCGCTTCATAAACCCAGATGAGCTGACAGCCATTGTGATAAGTAATACTCTCAATTTCCAATGCTTTTTACTGCATTTTTCGCAGTGTTATGATGCTTTCATATATACCTAAGAGAATCGAGTGGTAAGCAAAATAAGATCCCAGGGGGGAGTCGAACCCGCTTTTCATCCTTACCGGGGACGCGTGCCACCACTATACCACCGAGGTGCACTCGCACCATCACTCATTTTCAATACCTTTATGATAGCCGCCAGCCTCCCACCTTCAACAGATTTTGTCGGGGTTAGGTATGTATGAAACATCATAAGACTGCGAAAAATGTAGTAAAAACACTAGAAATTACGTGAATCTCCTTCTCCAAAAATATGCCATGCTTCCCACAATGAGCCCATGAGAGCACTTATGCTATGCCTACTTCGTAAATTACTATTTCAGCTCTCACACAAGGTCTAAACCGAAATAACTATAAGTCAGCCCTCTTTGACAGACCACTGACATGCGTGGCTCAAAAATGATTGCTAGGCATATTAAAATTTGAGCTGTGGTCTTAAGAACACACTTGAAATGAAAGTTATGATATATTGAATATAATAGCCGCGAGCAATTGAGTGTGCAACACTCTGCGTTTGGTGAGTTTTTCACTGGACATAGAGTGTAAAACGTTCGTCGTCGCTAACTCCTAGTGTGGGGACTGGAGCACCCGCACAGGACTGGCAAAAGACGGGAAAGGGTAACTGCCCGACTGACGAGATCGAAAGATGGAAACACGTGTATCGGGCTCTATAAGTCAGCCCTCACTGACAGACCACTGACATGCGTGGCTCAAAAATGATTGCTAGGCATATTGAAATTTGAGCTGTGGTCTTAAGAAAACATTAGAAACGAAAGCTAAGAAATTAACTTTGTTTCATAACTTGATGTTCGACTCTTTGGTTCAACACAAAACTGCTTCAAAATAAAAACACCTTTACAGAAAAACAAACCTTTATATGTGGGTCCGGATATCTGATGGTGCGTCCGTCGTTCGTGGTGATGAACGGAATGTTTTTCTTAGCCACATGAAGAGCCTTCACTTTACACAGTTTGAACTGTCCTTCGGCAGGCGTTATTCTATGCACAGTATAGCGTCCCTTCACATCATACAGCAGACGGAATGTCTCATTTGTACGCTCAATACTGATCACATCTAGAGAAAATCGGTTGTAAAAAAAATTAACAATTGCAAGAAAAGAGTTCTACAATCCAGATTATCCACTCTTTTCGTCATGGTAAAAGAAAGGCAAAGTTATTCCTGGGTTTTAGAGGCTAACGGCTTCCCACTAACCCTTTGCAAACGGTGAGGATAATTTTCCGACCCTCAAATTTTCAGGGGTCTCCTTCGCTGAACAAAGTATTCCTACTGGAACTTTAATGGTTAGTGACAAGTTAAATCTCGACAATTGTAACACTGTGCTTGGTTTCCGAAAAAGCCCTCTTAGTGAGCTGAAGCAACAAAAATAGAACAACGTTTCACACGTGGAGTGCTTTGGTTGCACAGTAAGGCTCTGTGGGCGGTTTCCATTGGATTTCCCTAAAACTCATTCAACAAGATAAACCACGGCAATTCTGAGGCTGACTTTGGTCATTGAGAAGGTCTTCGTAGTGATCTGCACAAACGAAAAGATTACGTTTGAAACCCGGAGTTTTCTTCGCACAGATGTGTTATATACTCAAAAAAAGTACCTGAGCGTGCAGAGTTAATTACGCAATTTTAAAGCGGTGCGAAAAGCCTAAAGCTTCACCAGGATCTGAGGGAAATCGCCTTTCGGATAATGAAAATTGCGCGCCGCTTGCAAAGATCGATCAGTTCCCGTCAGCAAAGGGTTAGTAGATCATAGGAACCGAGCATTGCTGCTATGGCTCAGATCGCGGCAAAACACAAAACAACGCTCACCCATGAATCCAGCCGGGAATTTGTGATCGGTGCGAATTTTCCCGTCGACCTTCACCACTCGCTGGCGCAATATTTTCTTCACTTCAGAATAGTTCAGCGCATACTTCAGACGATTACGTAGAAACAGATTTAGTGGGAGACATTCTCGTAATTTGTGTGGTCCACTCCTGGGTCGAACAGCGAACACTCCGCCAAGTTTGTCAAGCATCCAATGCTTGGGCGCTGCTAGACGCTTCAAATGCTTCTTCGGTCCACGAGCCATAGTGAACACTCAGTAGTCTGACCACAAGCTGAAAAGGATCTTTACTTCTGAGTAGTTCTTACATACAAAAAAACGAAGTCCAATTCTTCTTATTCAACCACTTTTAGCGGTCGTATGATGTTATATTTATACCCAGTGATGTAGAGTGATGTGCAAAAGTTTCGCGTCAGGCGGGACTCGAACCCGCATTATCACTCTATACGGGAGCGCGTGCTCTAGCCCGTTTTACTACTGACGCCATTTTGCCATCACTCTTGCCATGCTACAATGCATCTATTTGCCAGTAGCCAACGCCAAACCGAAATCTTCTTTTTAACTTAGTTCAATTTTCCTTCATTTAATATGCACTGCAGCGTAGAAAGAGTGATAACAAAGCGGGCTTCAGTGGCGCAACGGGTTGAAGAACGCGCTCCCGGATAAAACAAGATGCGGGTTCGATTCCCGCCTGATGCGAGAGTTTTGCACAACACTTTACATCGTTGGATTTATACAATGATGTTGAGCGATGCGCAAAACTTTGACGTCCGGTGGAATTTGAACTTGCATTTCACCGTATCCGGGAGCGCGTGCTCTAACCAGTAGCGTTGCGACAGTGGTGCCAAAACAAGTGCCGGTGGTAGAATGGGTAGAGTACGCGCTCTTGGACAGAGTGAGATGCAGGTTCGACTCCCGCCTGAGGCGAAAGCTTTGTACATCACTCAGCATCGTTGAGTAATTTGTAACATCAAAATCACCGCTGAAAACCGGCCAAATGAAAAGAATTTTTGTCGATAAAAATCATTAAACTGCTTGCATAGCAAACTGAAACGATCATCAAATGCTGTGGAACCAAGAAAACACTGAGATCGATTTCAAGAAAAAAAAAACAAGTAAAAGTGACAGAATAAACTGAGAGAGAAAAACTGACATCGCGTCGACGTAAAGGGATAAATCTCTTGGCGCCGATCAATTCCTAAAGGATGCGCTATGCATTCGACTCCATTCGTGGTGTCGTTAGAGATGATTATGATGCATATCTAGCGTTTACAAAGACTCGCAGTGGCCTAGCGATGTATCAAATCAGTGCTTCTCGTCCTCGGGACAAGCCTACCACCAGCTCACCGGCCCTAGTGGGATGGGTAGTTTTGTGAGCCTATGACGCGGCAGGGATTGAACCCTAGGCCCTCGACTGGTCGATCAGGTGATCGATAGCACAGCATAACTAACCACTGCTTCATACGAGCTCTTGATATCGGTAAGTAAAGTGGAGGAAAAGTATATCATTTTAAGAACTGCACTTTCGTCAAATTTCCAAGAGGTTGCCATTTCTACCTTCAGAATCGATGGCTCCTAAAGCCGAATTTCGATCGATTTCACCTTCTAGAGCCGTTCTTCCAAATGTAACACTATTTTTTTCTTCAAGAGATGATATGACGAGAGAACAAGGCGAGTCTTAAGCCTAACAAAAGGGTTCTGAAGGAGGTGAAGCCGCTGAAACGTCAGGAATCCATCCTGACGGAAACGTACGAACATCAGCCAAACTCTCAGTGAAAAAGCAATTAGTAGAAAAACCTACCCTTGGGATACGGCCTATCCAAAACAAACAAGTAAACAAACAAACACGTAAGCAGATAAACAAGTAAACAACCAGGGAGAGAATGACGACCACACACCTGAACCACTAGGAGCGAAGGACTGGAAAAGTTTAGGACCAGCAAATTGCCCCATCGGTGTACGGTATGCGCTTTCTCTTCAGGACCGCGATGTCGGCGCACGATGAACAACCTTTAAGTGCAGCTGCTCGTCGTTAGGACCACTTTGGAAGATGCGGTACCGCGTGGTTGATCCTGAAGTCGCGACGAACTCAATTCCACCTGGGTCTGATAGGATCGAACCAACGACCGGTTTTACATGGCGAGGCGGACTTAGCCATTGCTCTATACGGGAAGCTGGACATTCACATTGACGTCGGAATTGATAATTGGCATTCCATCGCTAACTATAGAGATCTCTGTTGCTAATGTTGATTCTCGTTGATTTTATGCTATTTGGATGGACATTTAGAGGAATACTTCTATCAACTCTTTGGGGACCACCGCTGAGGGAACATTGCCGTTGCCGTTGCCGTTGCCGACGCCGTTGCCTGCACGGCAGTCCAGGCAGGCGCAACGGCATGTCTATGCATGAATGTCTGGCTGTTTGGCTGTCTGCCTGCTTTCACACGAGACGTTACGACTCCATTACAGTAGCTGAGTGTGGTTTAAACGTCGCGCGTTTTATACGAGGGCCCTTGAAGATGTGGAGTACTATGCAAAAACGATTGCGTCAGCCGGGATTCGAACCCATATCTCACTCTTCGAATCCCGGCTGACGCAATCGTTTTCGCACAGTACTCCACATCATGGGTTTATTACAAGATCATACCATCACAACGAGCGGTCAAATAAATGAATTGCGACTCATTATTGGTCCTTAAAGAGTTAGCTTCCTTCTACACTGGGGAATTTGGGCAAGCGATCTTAAAGCTTACCATAATGTCGGCGTTGGTTTTCGCGATGAGGGTGAGATCCCATTGAAAATGACATAGTGGTCGTTGTGATAAAGAATAAAGGATAAAGCTCTTCGGCTTCACTCCATCCCAGCGGCTATTAAGCGATTTTCGCGCGTGGAGGGCGATATTTCATCAGTTAATTGAAGCTTTTTTCTTCATTCCGTGAGAAAACTTCGGGCTTTTAAAATTTTTCTGTTACTAGCATAATTTCCTCTGCACGCCTATATAATTTTCGTGCACAGTTAACTCTCACGTGTGAAGAAAATTCCGAGTGTGAAACGCGTAAGTAGTCATCTTTGTGCTTCGGTAGCGCACTATGAAGATCTTCTCAAGCATCAATTCCGCTGAAGAAGAACACCGAAGAGTCTACAGTCCTAAATGACCCCTACTGTTCCTGAGTGCCCTATGCATTCCTCTTCATCGATCTCGTTGGACGTCTCGAATGCATTTGTGGCTTTTGCAATGACTCACGGAGAACCACCGATGAGTCAGGTCGGTGACGCTATCCTTCCAGACAAATGTGATACCAACTCATCCACCTGAAGGGTTAGAAGGCTTGTGTACCTTGAGTCGAACCTCGAATTCGCTTAAATCAAAGATGTGTGTAAGTTGCAGCACTTTAACCAACGCACACCGCGCCATATAAAGAGATTCGGTAGAAAAAACCGAAATTTCAGTCTTTGTCAATCTACACGTTTATCTTCTCCGCAGCATTTTAAAAATGTGTTTTTGAGTTTTTTCCTCTAAAGCATCACCGAAAAAGGTGCAAAAATGGTTGGGAATGCGATTTTTTTCCAAGACTATAGCTTTCATATCAAAAGGTAGGGCTTCTGAAAATCACTGTATTAGATTGATATTGATATATAAAAAAT